TAGCGAATAACTACTGTTGTTTATTCTAGCAGCTTTGCTATCAGCAATCTGTACACACCACCGCCAGTATCTCGAAATTGCGAGATGGGCGATTGCTCCTTTCTGCCTATGGCCAGTCAGCCAATATTTGAAGCAGGTCTCACTAACGCGCAATCTTTCGTGGAACGCGCGTCGTCGGCAGGTTGGCACGGTGGTGTAAGCGAAGCGTGTGAGCTCGAGCGCCCCCATCCTTTTCCCCCCACGCAAGGAGGACCGGCGGAGCACCAACCAACTGCGCGGCCATCCAATTAGTGCTTTCCACACCTGAGCAGTAATAGCTAGAGCCGCTCGACCCCCACCCTTCCCCCGCACGCCGCCTAGCCACCCCTCTTTACCTCCCACCCGCTCCCTCCTCCCCCTCTGTGTCTCTGCCCGGATTATGGCATATCTGTCGCCATATAACGGCACTCTGGCTTAGTCGTGCGCGGGGGTGGCCGGCCGGCCGAGCCGCACCCGCCGGGTGAAAGGTGAAGCCTTATTCGTATAAAATATTTATCTGTCACGGTAATGGCGCCTGCCAACTTATTTCATCCGAGTCGTTGTCTCTGGCTGGCGGTTAGAGGAGGGTGTAAAGTGTGTGTGTGTATGCAGGGTGGGGGGAGGGGGGGGGGTATAGAAGAGGCACGGTCAGTTTGATCGTTTCTCGATCGAGATACGGCGTGGCTATAAAAGAGGCGGAACACGGCCCTCTCGATTGGCGCGAAAAAAACAAACAAATATAACACTGCACGTCGCGGACGAGCGCGTGGGCGCTTTCATTGTCATGTTTTATTTTTGCTGTTTTAAATATAAAAACTCGTTCGTGGCATAAAATATTACACTGTTGTTGCTAACTATACCCTCACATTCGCTGCTTTGGGTTTTGGTTCATGACAGAGTAGATCCGCACGACCAACGCGACCCCCTTCCCCCTCCTATTTTCCGGCCCCCGGCCCCCGAGCGCGCACACGCCATCATCCCGGGAGACTCCCGCCTAGCGTAAAGGGAGAGGGAGGTCGGGTGGGGGAGGAAATGGCAATTAAAGGGAGATTAAGGGGTGGCCAAAGGAGGAGACAGACAAGGTCGGCTCACATGAGCCATGCGGACCTGCGGGACCTGCTCCCTTCCTCCCGCTTGCCGGCGCTCGCTTCGCGGACTCGCGCACTCTCGCGCCTCGCAGTGAGTCTCACGGGCGCGAGGGGGAAAGGAATGCGCTAACGATATCTACCTAAACGCGCAAAATTCCCTGGGATTCAAAATTGTACTGTGGTTTCAATTTAATCGGAGTGAGC